TGTTTTATAATTTAAGTCAATAATAACAAACTAGCTGACCTGGTATGAATGTTTAATTTTCATGTGGTTGGTACTGTAAATATGACAAAGGGCCTGTAAAAAACAGGCAATCATGTAAGCAATTAGAGTCTCACAATCTATTTGTATGAGTGAGTAAACTGAAGATAATTAGACAACATTCATTTTGTGTTTCCCAACCCTAGATTGCTTTATGTGGTTGACATGAAGCACTGTGCATTGGCAGGACATGTATATATATTATGGCTGAAGCAGATCTTTGTAAGATTGCTATCTTTGTCTAGGCTTCAATTTGAGATATCTGCCATCAGAGCACCCAGTTTAGCCTGAAGCACTGGTTCTTACATTTTTTTTGTCCTTGGGCATTATAGCTTATCTGAGAGATAAGGGTTAGTAGTCCAGGGTATGAAATGAGTTAACGAAGCATACAAGGTCAGCTATCACAGTAACAAGAGTTCGAACTGACCTGACACTTAGTGGCACATCTCTTCATCCACATCCACATTTGATTATCTTACTCAGAAGAGAAACTACCTCGCTGCCTCTTGACTTTTTTATCCTTCCTTTACACTTTCCTGTAAATTGTAAGCCACATCTGTTTCTCTGTAAGATGCAAGCCACATCTGTTTCTTACTAGTCATCTGATGTGCAATTCTATCAGAGAAAATGCTTTATTTTTTTGGAGCCTTTCCTCTGCTTTGTTATTCATACCATGATACTTCAGTACTTTTCAGGATGTGAAATCTAGGGATTTATTAAAAGGAAAACCCAGCCACTTTATTTATCTGAATCTTGTCAGCTGTTGAGCAGGAGTATCAAGACCAGATGATGATGAGTTTTCATTAATATTGATACATTTATAAAGGATTAATCTGGCTAGGTGTGGTTTGTTTTCTTTTTAAGTAGTTTAAATATGGACATGAGGTGATGCAGTAGTTCTAAAATCAGAAGAACAGGTGCCTTTATTAAATAAACAAATACAAAATAAAAGAACCAACCACCCTTTCTCCTTTACTAAACACCAAACTGTGGAATTGAAGTATGGTTATGTTAGATATTAAATAGCCTAATTACCCTGAAAGTTTTGCAAAATGAATTTAGGGTTTGCTGGATGACAACATTTTCAGAGAGAGTGTGGGCTAGAAGCAGCAGAAGGTGACATCACTCCCAGATGTTAGTAGGAAATGCCAGAGATACAACGTGCTTGCCTGTAGGTATCAATGTTAGAAAGCTGAATACTGATTCTGAATCAGGGTTGCTTTCTGCAATGCTTTCCTTTCTTTTCTTTTTCAAGAGGTGGGGAGTAGTAAACACAAGTCAGATTTTTTTGTATTTTTTTTTTAGTAAAATCTTTTAGTAATAATAGCCACAAAGTCATGTTGTTTCAGACTCAATGAAAAAAAATCTTCCTTGCTTACCAGGACCAAAATTCTTTCTCCTGAACTACTTCCTCTTTCCCCTGTTTTGAGCCAAACTCAGGATTGCTTCTCTCCATTTTCATCTGTGAAACACAGAATCTGCTAGTAGTTTTTTATTTTGCTTAGTTAATTCTTGCCATTCAGCCTTTCCAGTTTTTGGTTATCTGCAAAAAGGGGAGTTGATTTACTTAGTTTATTTTTTTTAATGTAATCTTTGAGCTTTATTAAGCAATTTATTATGTAGATATACTTTGCACACAGCATGTTTTACATGCATGTACCCTTTAACCAGGTATGTCTCAGGATGCTTAGTGACTGCCACAAATGTTTTCTGTGTGAGTTCATCTTAGAGCATTAGAAGTATACAGTACTGTGATATTGCCTTCTGCCTTTGTACCGCTGATGGTTATGGTCCATTTCCCTTTTTGTAGCAGTCATTTGGACTGTCATCCACTCCCTTCAGGCCCTGGTATTGCCTGAACAGTTGCTGGCTCTGCCTGACTGTGCCAAAATGTCTTAATTTGGGTAGTTTGGTTTACCCTTATAATCTTGGCAAAATAGTAGTTTGAGCATAAAAATGGCAAGACTACCAGGTTACTTCAAGTTGGGTTTTTTGGGGGGGCAAGCTGGGGTGAATTTTGTACCTTCAAGTGTGTGTTCATGTGGGGTGTGTGAGCATGTGAGTTCACACATCTCACGCATCTCAGTGCATTGTCAGAAGCTTTATTCACAGTTGTGGTGGAGCGTCAGGAAAGAAAAGTAATTGTGAGCAGTATTGGAGAAACAAATACCATTTTAGAGGTTTCTTTTGTTGAGCATCTGGGAAATAACAAGGAGAGTGAAATCAATACAGGTGGTGATAAAACTTGAATTACTGCAGTTCAGCATACATGACATGTTAGTACTAAAACATAATCTTGCCAGAAGACACAGGTGAATGGATTCATTTAAAAGGAGCAGAAACTGTTTCTGCTCACTTGTTGAATGTAGGGGATTTTTTTGAACATTAATATATAAAATTGTCTTCTTTTTTTTTTGTTTAGTAGGTTGTTTATTTTATATTTTTTGGAAAATCTCATGGGTCACATGCTTGGTACATCCCCAAACACTCAATGAACTATTGTAGAGCAAATTGTCACAGTTTAAAAGTGAAGGATGAGGGGAGCCTCTTTCTTTTTTTTTTTTTTTACAGGTGCAAAGGGAAAGAAAAAAAATAAGATCTAGCATTTCAAAGGTAAGCTACAGGTCATCCAACCTGCAAGGCTGATGAGGAGAAGGGGCATTGGCTGCCATATGAAGTCCGCCATAAACAACTGGGAGCAATAATTTCCTAAACCATTGCCACCTAATAAACAGATCTGTCTACACTCTGAAGCAGCTCCCATAAGACCTCTGTAACTGATTTTTAGTATTTTCTTTTCAAATAAATGTTTATTCATATCTACTCTGCAGGTTATGTTACTGATCACAGTAGGACTTGCTATTGTTGAGACGGATTTAGTCTTCTAAACAAATGAAATGAATAATCTCTTGCATTTTACCTAATCTATATCCTTACAAAGTGGCTTTCTCCCTTCTTCCTCACCACATTTCCTCCAGGAATAAGTGGGTTTTTTCTAGTTTAGAAGACCTAAAATCCCCACCCTTTTTTTTCCAGTTTATTTACACATATAAAAATATGACTGCTGCTGTAAGTAGGCCCATAGGTGTCGATTTTCATGTCTTGGTTCTGAGCAGCTGACTCTGGGTGACCCTGCTTGAGCAGGGGGCTTGGACCCATTGACCACCAGAGGTCTCTGCCAGGCTCAACCATTCTACAATTCTGTTATTAATATATGGATAAATACTGTTAAAATATATAACAGCTGATGTGAAAAATGTCTGTAATCTGGTTTGAAAGCTTTGACTCTAGCCCTTCTTCAGAGGGTAACATGTAGGTAAAGATATGATTTAGCTTTAGAGGATAGTGTGTAGATAAAGATGTGGTTTGGCTTTAAAGATTTCCTTTGGAAACTTAATTCACTGGCATTTCGCTGGTAAATCAGAATGTAGTAGTTGAAACAAATGGACAAATAAAATAGCAAGTTGATAAGAATATTGAAGAAGCATCTAGATGACTGAATATTTTATGCATTTTGAAAACACTTCTGGAGTGGTGACTGAAATGTGAGAATTACAAAGTCGACCTGAAATAAAGGCTTGCAGATATATTATTTCAGCTTACAGATTTAATGCAGAGGAGGGCCAGTACTGACAAGCTGCTTATTCAGAGTTTTATCCTAATATTTCAATGTGCAGTTCTAAGCTTATTTTAGGATTCTGGACATGTAATTGTATACCAATGATTTCTGATCTTTATTGCAGTAATAGAATGGTTCTCAGGTGTTCGTCGAGTCTGTCCTCTGGAAACAGTATTTTGATTCCCCTTTTTTTCCTGTCTGTGAAACAAAGAGTATTTTTATTCCCATTTTATTTCCTTTTTCCCACCACATGTTTATTCTGATGTACCTGGCTTTATATGCAACTTCACTTTAGCAGCGTTGACTTCAGCTGCACCTGCAGTGCTCGGTACTTCTGCAGGTCAGATCCAAAGATCTCAACAGAAGCACCACAAAATTAGAAATATGTAAATAATGGTCAAATGTGAAAAAACATTGAAGGAACTTGCTATGGAACTTGTCCATTACCTTTTAGCGATCCTCTGATGTCAGATGTGAAGTCACTCGCTCCAGTTAGCTTGGCATACAACAGTGGTAGAAGGAGCATCGGGAAGGGAAATAATTGCTTTAAATAATCATGAAACCCTCTGCAGCTTTCTGAGAGGAAAGAAGTCACTCCATTTTGCACTATAAATGCCAGAGGAATTTTGTGATTGTTTTGTTTTCCACTTTTTTTTTATTTCCACAAGGCATAGCTGTTCCTAAATGGAAGACGCCGAAGCTTCGCATCTAGCGGTGCATAATTTTCTTCTTCTTTATATGATAAGTGTGCAATTAATTGTTCTTTCCTGTGATGTTCTTTTAGTTCTCTTTTGTTTACAAGTAGTATTGAAATCTTTGGTGTGCTGAGAGCTAATAAACATGCATTTTTTATGGTCTCAACTTATTTTTCCTGAAGTCTCTCATATTAGTGGTCTTCAAAGTAAATCTGCAGTCTGGTGTGGAAATAGTTGAAGTAGGGCATTTTAATTTATTTACTTGTCACAGGGGAAAAAAAATGTGCTTCTTATGAACTGCTTACTTAGTGGCTCTTCGTTGCTTTTCTTTCTGATAAAGCAGTGAAGTGTAGTATCAGAGCATTTACTTCGGTAATGTCAAGTCATGGCAATGACCTAAATAGAGCTGATGCAGAATAGTTTTCCAGACATATGGAATGGTAACAGTCAGATATTCTAATGAGTATAAAATCACTTGATGTCAAAAAGTTTATTTTAAAATGGTAAATTTGTCCTTTTTAAGAGTCTTCAGGGGTTGGTGGTGAAAGTATTCTTTTTAATAATTCTGTAATGATAATAACTTAGAGAGCTATGTTTTAGCATTGTTGTGTTTGATTTTCTTTTCACAGCCCACATACTGGGTGGCAGAATTACCAGTCTGATGTGCCACGGATTCCCACTGCTTGCATCTCTGTGGAAGATGCTGAAATGATGGCCCGAATGTCTTCCCGGGGCGCTAAGATCGTTGTGCACCTGAAGATGGGGGCTAAGACCTTTTCAGACTCCCCTTCCTTTAACACTGTGGCAGAGATAGTTGGAAGCAAGTACCCAGAGCAGGTGAGCGAGAATATTCAAGATGAAACTTATGTTTTTCTTTAAAAATATGAAAAAACAAATCCAAAGAACAGCCTTTTCTGAGAAATCCTTCAAATGAGTCACTCTTATTCACCTCCTCTTCTGCATTTCAGACATCTCAGCTTTTCAGTCTTTTTCAGGTAGCAGGTTTGAAACCACCAGGCTCAGTTGTAACTAGGATGTAACTGGGATTATATTTTAGAAAACAAGAAGAATTACTGTGTTCTAAGAACAGGAAATTTAACTAAACTGTACTCTGTCCTCCTCCTTTTTGTTTCTCTGGCTTAAAGCTCACTTTAAGTAGTACCATCTACATAGGCTTACTAAAAACAATGTATGGAAGCAGAAGAGAAATTCTAACTCCATAGCAAATACAGTTATTGTTTTAAATAACAAGTAGTAGGTTAAGGTTGCCATAATCATTTCTGCTTTGGGTTTACTTATTATTCTGTTAATCATTTTAAAGGGTTTCTTGATCAGGCAAATAAGCCAGATTCTGCTATCTGTAACTAAAATTGTTTGCCATTATATTTTAAAGTTTTCCTTCTTACTTTCTCTCTTTTTTTTTTTTTTCAATTTCTTAGCCCAAAAACCATACCAGCTAATGGTGCTGAAGGATTTGTGCCTGGTATGAGGTCTTCTATGTAAGCTACAACATGGAATGATTTTTCTGGCAGTATGGTTTATTGTGAAAATGCTGATGCAACTCAATTACAGAAGCACTGGAAATTCCTGCTAGAGTACCTCTACTGAGCCACAATTTTTTTTAAATGTTGTAGTTTTCTGACTTCAATGGAAAATAAGAATGACTATTTCTGTCCTTTAAACCAGGCATAGGTCTTATAAGATTTTATCTTTTCTGAAATGGTAGTTTTTTAGCTCTGGCTTGTGATGTTTAGAGACCCTCAGTGTTAGCCTGAATGTGTGCTTTCAGAAGCTTCATCACTGGGCAGGGAAAAAGTAACTACTCTCATGGATGCAGTTTATATACCATCACCTAGGGTATGTAACACGTATCGGCCAAGCTAAAGACAATATCTCAACTTCTAAATTAGGGTACAATTAATTTAATTTAATGTCATCTGATTTTTTAGTCATACTTCTAACCAGCACATAGACTGAATTATATTTGCTGTATTTCAAAATTTGACATTTCAGTTCATGTTATGAAGTATCCAAATGTAACCTTCGAAGATGTGTTAAGGTGCTTGCTTGTGCTTGATTTTGTGTTTGCTGTCCTGCTCTGTTTCTTTAAGTAATGGAATGGATTGGGTTCTCTTCACTTCTTCCACTGAGAAGGTCGATTTTTTTTAAACACTGGGTAAAGACTTATTTACAACCCCCCTGCTGATGTTAATGGGAGTGGTAGTAGACACACTTTGAAAATGTAACCAAGAAACAGAAAAATAAAACGAGTGAATGTTTAGGTTTCTTAGTACTCAGTTCCTCTTGGAGCCTTAATGGGTGCTTCACCACACTCATTCCACGGCGTTACTCCGGTAAAAATGGGAACCATCTAGCTATTTAGGCAATAAAATACGCTGCAGACCCAAAATCCTACAATGCCTTTTATGTCAAGGTGTTTCAGAATGCAGTACAGATCCAGAGGAATAGAAAGGTGCCATTTCCACAGGCCAAAATTTCAGTTTAAGTTTTGAATTGAAAGAAAAGCAAATCTGGATCTCTGAACTCTGGGTGAGAAATCAGCAGCAGGTGGTATTGCTCTCACAAAGGTCTAAAGCAAAACAGTTTGAAATTAGGCTGAAGCCTGTGGAATGTAACTTGTTACAGGTATTGCCACAAATTATAACTTAAAAAACTGGAACTCAATTGAAAATTAAGGTCACTGTAGGATGCTGAAGAAGTCTGGTGACAAATTAAACAGTTCTAGGTGTAACTCCAAATTAGGTGTGTTTGTGTTCATCTATATATTGACCAGAATTTAATATAGTGCTTGATTGATCTATAAATAATTCATTAATTCCTCCTGTGAGACTTTAGGATGTTTATTAAAAATAATCATCAAGGACTGAAATAATTTTTTTTCTGAAAATCTTACCTGTTGCAAGCAATGTTGAATATTCTTATTAAAATTCTTTCAGGAGAAAATATTTTTTTTCTTTGTTTAACCACTCTTTTAGCATCTTCAGTTCAGTTCTTCCTTTTTAAGTTGTTTTTCCAAGTGTTTTGTGTGGATTCTTGCAAATAGCAATGTAAGGGGGAAAAAAGTAAACTAGAGAAACATTAAGGAAAACAGAAAAAATATTAGTTGAAATACTTCTGACATAATTTCCTAAAAGTTTGCAGTGTTTTAGACTCAATGTTCTTAAAGTCTTGTAGCACGTGCTTTGTTTTGCTGTTGCAAGGAACATTTGATATCACCTACTGTAAGTTGCAGCTTTGCACTACCAGGTTCTCAGGTGGCTTAGAAACATCTGAAGAGAAAGAGGAGATGGATTTTGTCATGCTGTCAGTAAAGTTCAGCGTCTCACCAATGTCTCTGTTCTGTTTATCTTTGCATTTGTTCTGTTTATCTCTGTATTATTCCTTCTAAGTTAAGGAAGGGCCGCTCTCCCCAGACTGGAGCCTTGCTAATGCCAGAGTGGGCGTGACCATGCATGTTCTGAGCAGGGACATTCACCATCCTCAGTCAGTCCTGAGGTCCTCCTTTAGAGCCTGCGGAGGCCTGAATGCCTGTAGGTGCCTGAAGGAGGAGAGCCTGTGAGATAAGGAGTTCAAGATTGAGTTTTTCTTTACATGGACAGATTGGAAGCAGTGGTACCAAACATACTATGACTTGATGCCCTGGCAGCCTTTCTGAGCTTGGCATCCTATTCTCGTGGTGCATAGGACAGCAGCGAGACTGGAAAACCTGTGGGCTGTGGAACTTAGCTTATTTCAGCCTGTATGACTCCCAGCAGCTGAGCCAAAGAGTTTGTGAAATGAGAAAGGTATGGTAGCAGAACCTGCTGAGGTCTACTGCAGACTAGAGCCATTTGCAGTCCATTTTCAGACGAGGAGTTTTTGAAGCACACTGTGGAACCTGGGACTGTGCTGTTAGCGTCCTTTTGTTCTCTGTTGTGTATGGGTGAGATTGTAGGGTCAATGGTTGGACTTGATGATCCCAAGAGTCTTTTCCAACCTGAATTGTTCTATGATTCTATGATTCTATGAAAAGTTTTATTGAACTCAGGAACCTGACACTGGAGACTGAATGACTGAGAAACTCACAAGTTAACTAATATGTTTTTCATTTGAAATTCAGGCACAGCTGGCAGTAAAACATGTTTGTCTTCTCACTTTAATACAGATGTAACATGATTGGTCTTAAAGGACAGAAGCAACCGTTCCCACCTCTAGGAAAATGCTATAAATAGTAGCTGTTTCTTGTTAGTCAGGCTTTGGTGTACCTGATGTGGCAAACACAGAACCACAGAATACTTGATTAACTGAAAAGATGTCAAAATGGATAAAGATACATACAATCATGACTTTTGGTGACATTTTGTAGCATGTATTTCTTGGGGTGCAGTGCTGTTTTACTTATCTTACAGTCTCTAAGTGACGGGAAAACTGTTTCCTAAGTGCCCTACAAAGTACATGAATTTAATACTTGCTCATTATTCTATGATCTAGCATAAATGCTATAGAACAGAAACAGAGGAACTCATAAGTGGCTTTTTTGGAATCCCGAAGAGCTGTTCCAGGAATTCACTCTACACAGCTTTTTTTTGCCTTCTGTTTTCACGGAGTGCCATATCTACAAAATGTACCATTTGAAAAGTGACTCTATTTTGAACACCACAGGCATAAAAGACCATTGAAGAATGTACTGTAGCTCTGAGCCAAGTTTGGACAGCACTTTGAAATTACCAGTCCTAGGAATGCCCTGAGAAACGGAGATGCTAAGGTAGCAGATTGTGAAGTTCTTTACCAATCCATGACTGATGTAACAGAACGTGTTCCACAAAGGAAACAGCAGCTTATTTTCTTTTTCATTCTTCTTTCTTTCCCTGTTTCAAAAAATCAGCCCTCTCTCGGAATTTGTGATACTGGGCAAAGCTCCAGGGAACAAGAGAACATGAAAATCGTCCAGGCTTCTGAGCCTGTTAGGCATTCATGCACATAAAGGAAGAAATAATTTGTAGACCAAAAAACAAACAACCCTCAACCCTAGGAAAAAAATAAAAATAAAAAGACTTCTCTGAAGATGTGTAATACTCAGTACAATGTTGTTTTATGGCCTGGCATCAGTTCTACATATGTTAACAAAATGTCTACCCATTAGCCCTTTGATGTGGCTTCCAGATATCCCTATGCTCAAACTAAATCATGCATACAATAGAGCTTTAAGTAGAAATGTTTTAAGAGCTTGGTGCCATCACATTATGGCTTTATTATCACATTTTCTCCACGCGGATTGTTTTGCTATTTGTTCCAAAATGTTGAAGAGCTTGTAAGTGCAATTCTGTGAGCCACACTCTTGTGACTGTAAGATGATGCCTGTAGCTGCTAGAATTTAAGAGAATTTAAAAGAGTTTAAGGGATGATTAAGGAGATTGGATTTTGAGAGTGCCAGCCCATTACTTCATGATACTGAACTGATGGAAAAGAAGAAGAAAGAAATGGTGAAAAAAAAATCCACAAAAAAACAAGAGAAAGGGTGAAGAAGGAACATTGGCACTGTTAGGAAATGTTATATTGTCTTTGAAGTTTTTGTATCAGTATTTGCTGAAAGAGGTAATACCCTCTCTGTGTGTTTTATCAGTAACAGGACATTGTACTACTAATTGAGTGGTTGTTTTTTGCAGTGGACCTTGTGGGAGTGGCAATATTGCTGTAATTTCTTCTTTAAGAAGAAATGATGAAAACAGTCAATTTAATATGAAGCTGATCTGGAGGGCAATTTTACTTTGCAACTTGACCATTTTTAAAATGATTTTTTTAAAATTACAGAAGGTCTATGAAATTTTAAGACTGGA